TAATTGCAAAAGTGAATTCTGCTCATTTTTGTGCCAATACTGGCTATAGATTGATTCCAAAAAGTAACTTGAGTATCAAAAATGAACTTCAATAATAACTAAGAATTCGTCCAGTTCAGTCAATACATTTGAGGTAGGATTTGTTGATTTAGTTTGAATTAACAAAGGGAGGTAAGTAGTGGTGACTTCATTTATACTATATATTCCCTCATCCTTTCTATTCCTCCTTTCTTTGATTATTTTTCTATCTACTTTTTACTTTCTGATTATTTTCGATTTCCTCTGTTAATCTACAAAAATATTTTTTCTGATATATTTGCTGCCAATGTTATACCTTTTTTTTCTTTAAAAACTTTGCCTTTCTGTATAGTTTAGTATTTCTTATTTACACAAAACGCATACTCTCTAATGAAGGGGTGTAAATTTCTCAGCTCGACAAAAAAACTGTTTCAAAAATAAATTTTGGTACTCAGTCATTTGGTCAGATTTGGGGAAGTTTCTATCTTCTTTTTTATTTTTTTTTTTTTTTTAATGTTCACCGAATACAAGGCTCAAGTGCCACTCAAGGTAGAAGGTTACTGGATGAGGTGAACATAAGTAGAGGATTTAAGAAAGGATTACCAACATATGCAGGATTTATAACGACTGGCTCTAGACTTGAAGTGATATCAATTGCAAGGTTTAGAGAAGTATCCACACGGGAGTCTCTTTTATAAAGTTGCGGTTCTTGGAAAGAATTTCTTAGTGAAATTACCTTCTTACTAATGGAATAGTTCGGAAATGAGGGTGATTTAACCCTGTGAATCAGGTCGAGAACTTTTCACTAACATCCAGTATTCAGCATCTCAACCTCTTAAGGTCCTTTTATTAGACACAGACTTTATCCAGATTCATGGTGGGGACATTGGCAATTACCCTACTGCGCCGGCCCAATACATGTTGATAAGGGCGGATATTGGGTGATCATGTCTCTTTTCGGTTCATGATCGCCCAAGAATCCAATATTATAGCACCTGGTATTCCCAAAAGGTCACCCACCTATGTACTGACTAAACTCGATGGTGCTTAACTTTGGTGAACATGTGTTTCAACAAGGAATGGTCGTAAGCTTCCGCCTTGTTTTAATATCTCTAAATCTTTTTCGCATCTTCCCGGCTTCATCTGTTTAATTTTAATTTTACAATAATTTAAATATCTTCTTTAAATGTTGGTTTTAATTGCAAGAAACTAGCATAAACTATGTTTTTTTTTTTTAAATAAAAATATTTTTGCATACTTGAAGAAGGATTTAAAGGGATTCTAGCCATCACATCCAAAATTACTCAAATTGCGCTACGATTAATAAACATCATCTTTCGTCCTAAATGTCTTACAGTTTAAACAACTTTCCTGACACAAATATCTCTTTCTATTGAGTGGAGCCACATAGATTTTAGCATTTTCTCCGTTGATTATGACGATAAAATTAACTTTTTTACACGTTGTAGGTGGGTGCATTACTTGTCGCTTTTTTTGTCGAAATGCAAATGTTCTGAAATGTTGGCTTAGCGTCAAAATGAAACCCGTTCTAAAATTATCCACTGTTTGCTTTTTTTGTAAATTCCCAAACATTTCCAATGTATTAACTCATTTATTTACCTTTTTCATTTTAAATATTTGCTCCTGCACTCTTCGCTATCATGGATATTTATTTCTCTATCCAACAACTACAGCAGACACAGTCAAGGTTCATTTTAACCTGCGGTAAAGCGTAGATTTATCTGATTAAAAAAAGCATTTCGCGATCTGAAAGCTCGTAAAGTGCGATTTACCCAAAGAATATATTCGCTATAAACTGTATTTTATAAATACACAAATGTATTGAAATGTTCTGGAAGCTCGTGATGTGCAATTTTACACTAAGAATACATTCGCTACAAACTGGATTTTATAAATATACGAATGTATTTAAATGTTTTGGAAGCTCGTAAAATGCGATCTATCCAAAAAATATATTCGCTAAAAACTGGATTTTATAAATATACGAATGTATTTAAATGTTTTGGAAGCTCGTAAAGTGCGATTTACCCAAAGAATATATTCGTTATAAACTGGATTTTATAAATACTCGAATGTATCTAAATGTCCTGGAAGCTTGTGCATTTTACCCAAAGAATATATTCGTTATCGATTGGATTTCATAAATTATCTTGATGAACGTCATAATCGGCAATATATAGAAATTATGACAAACGCTTACATAGCTTCGAACAACATCAAACAAGTAAAAATGGTTTATATCAATTAACAAAGCTTAACTTGATCTGCTGCAGTGTTGTAGTACACAGCGTCACCCAAAATAACCCAATATCCCAATATAACCCAAAATAACCCAATATCCCAATATAACCCAAAATAACCCAATATCCCAATATAACCCAAAATAACCCAATATCCCAATATAACCCAAAATAACCCAATATCCCAAAATAACCCAAAATCCCAAATATCCCAAAATAATAAATATAACAAAATAAACCTAATATCCCAATATAACCCAAAATAACCCAATATCCCAATATAACCCAAAATAACCCAATATCCCAATATAACCCAAAATAACCTAATATCCCAATATAACCCAAAATAACCCAATATCCCAATATAACCCAAATATCCCAATATAACCCAAAATCCCAATATCCCAATATAACCCAAAATAACCCAATATCCCAATATAACCCAAAATAACCCAATATCCCAATATAACCCAAAATAACCCAATATCCCAATATAACCCAAAATAACCCAATATCCCAATATAACCCAAAATAACCCAATATCCCAATATAACCCAAAATAACCCAATATCCCAATATAACCCAAAATAACCCAATATCCCAATATAACCCAAAATAACCCAAATCCCAATATATCCCAATATCCCAATATAACCCAAAATAACCCAATATCCCAATATTGGTAAAAATAACCCAATATCCCAATATAACCCAAAATAACCCAATATCCCAATATAACCCAAAATAACCCAATATCCCTTTTCCCACTGCTTAGTGTTCATTACTCATTATCTAAGCCTGACTGGCCTACTCTTCACTTTTCAGCCTCGACCGTCTTTAAAAGCGTTTCCTTGTGGGTGATGAATTTTTTTACACCCTTTATTCCCTTTCCCACAAAGAAAATATTCACTATTTACCTTCTTCAGACTATCATCCTCATCTTTGTTGCCATATTTATCACAACGTTTCGGCCGTTGTACGTTCCGGCTTGCTTCAGGTGGTTGGAATGTCGAACTGAACCCTTTATTTCGTTCACCGGGGTAGACTGTTCTAGTTCCACTTGTCATGTCTAATGGATGTCAGTTATCTCCTGCTTAATTCCCCTCTCCAAGTTCTCCATCGCCTTAACCAGGTATTGAACTCACACTCTTTGGGTCCTCTCACTGGATCTAACAAACGCCTTCATCCACCGAAGAAAGATCCACAATGACCTGGATAAAAGCCTTCAGGCATGAATTTGATGTAGTCAAGGCTCGCCAAGTACAAAAATTAAATAGATTGAAATATCAGAAGGTGACGCACAAGGTCAATCACCCACCAGTGAAAGCAGTAATCAACATCAGCCAATGTCAGCTGGGGAGTCAGTATTAAATTCCCCTTCTCTCTACATATATACATTCCCATTAATAAGAACATTATTTTATTCTGATGAAGTCCTTTTGAAGGACGAAACGCGTTACAGAGAATGTTTCCCTGATGAAGTTCAGTTACCTGCTATTAGTCTGATATATACATATATATGATATTTCTGTCATAAAATGATTTATGGAAATGAAATGAGGATTTGATCTGTTAACACAGACAACACTGCACTATGACTGTTTTATTGTCTTTCTGATTAAATTGTGTCTTTTGTTTCTCCATTGACTTCTTCCTTCTAGAAACAGAAATATCCAGAAACAAAAAAAAAGTAAAAAGAATATTAGTCAGAAAACAAAAAAAAAAATGTCTGCTGGTGTTAGTTTTCTTCTCGTTTTATTTTTACTTTTGATGTCTATTTAACTGATTTTCGTTTAAAAAGTTAATTTTCACAATTAGTAAACAATGGATTTTAGAAGAATCATTTCTCCAAGCCAAAGTGCCAGGCAGAGTATCTGTTCCTGCAAATGGTGGGACGAGTTTAAATATCAACTAAGTTTTCGCGCCTTTGAGGAAATGTGAATGTATTTTTCTCTACCCAATGCTTTACAACCAAATGTCTTGTTAATGATATGCCACGGTGACTTACTCTATGACAATGTGATCAAACCCCTCCCCACCCCGAAGCCTTAAGTGGAACGATATTTTGTTTTCAGGTAAAAATTCTACGTTTGTTGTGCAAAGCTAATAAATTCTGTTTATATATTTTCTTCATCTTTTCCTTTTCTCCTTCATTCGCTTTTTCTTTTTCTTTTTTTTTCTTATTCTTTCCTTTGTTTTCCTTCTCTGTATTTTCTCTCTTTCTCATTTCTTTTGGTTTTTCAGTCATTTTTGTCTTACTCATTTGCTCAAAATCGTATCAACCATTTTTTTTTTTTTGTTTCTGTTTGTTTTCTAAGCTAATTACATTTAAGAATGTTTTTATGTTTCTTTTTCATCTTTTTCTTTTCCGTTTTTAGTTGTTATTTTTTGTTTGTTTTATTATACCATTTTTTATTATTTTTTCAATAAATCTGTTGAATTCATTTAATTTTTCTCCTCTTCTTTTTAGTCTTCTTTTTTCTTTTTTTTCTTCCCTTATTTCGTCTTATTTTTTTTTTCATTATGAGCAACGCTCATTTGCAGTAGTTACAGATACTGTTAAGAAAATGACGAAAGAATTAGAAAGAAGGAAAAAAGACAAAAACATAAAAGAATAGCAAAAGGAAAGGAACAAAGCCGATATAAAAACAAGAATGAACGATAAGTTATTAAATATACAATGTGAAAATTGAAAAATGAAGTGTAATAATAATTTGAAACAAATAAAAGACAATATGAGAAAGATGAAAATGAATATGAAGAAAGTAAAAACGAATATGTAAAAGAGAAGATAAAAAGAAAGTCAGTAAAAAGGAAGAATAAGAAGAATTCTGAGTAACAAAAATCAAAAGGAAGAAGAAAAACGGTTGAAAAATTAAGGAAAAGAATGTAAGAGGAGAAAAATAAAGATATTGAAAAAAGGTGCATGACGTATTCTCTATATTAAGATGCCAGCATTAATTGAAGTAGAAGCTGCAGTAAAACCGAGTCAACAAGTAAAGGATCTCATTAGGGATAAAACAAGTAAAGGGAAAGAAAATATGTAGAAGCAAGAAATGAAGGAAGCAGACGAAATGCGTTTTCTTAAAAAGTAATGGAAACAGATTAGGTTTTTCAGTTAAATAAGCGAAGATAATTTCATACTCTGTAAGAATTTGTATTTTATGCAAGTTATTTTTTGCCTGAATAAAACTTGTATAAACCTGGGTTTATTAATATTCATATGTGTAATATCTCGTGCGAAATTCAGCTTCTAAATTCAGCTTTTAATATTGATAAGAATTTGTTTAAAATCAAAAATATTTTTATTATATAAAATCAAAAAGATATTGACCACAGAAACATTTGATTGACACAGTATCATATATACATTGTATATCACATTGTTCAGCTTCAAATACTTAGAAGTTACCCTGTCAAAAGATGTGTCCTGCAACGCCCACACCCACAGCAGCGATGGCCAGGCTAGAAAGGATATGGAAGAGCAATATCAGCTTTCAGACCAAGTTCAAGATCTACAAATCGTTGGTCGTATCCATCCGCCTCTAAGTGTGTTAGACTTGGACATTTCTGTTTGAGGCAGGGAAATGTATCCAGGCTTTCGAGAACAAATCTTGAGAAAGCTTTTCCACATCTCCTTTTTGACTATGTACGAATCAAAGTCAAAAGGCTGACAGGAAGAAGTCGTAGTGTAGCCACGTCGCACGGCGTAATAGACTCTGCCAGAACATCATGCAAGGTACTGTTGAAGGTGGACACAAGCGTGGACAACAACTCAAGAGCTGGTTAGACATCAAAGAGTGAATAGACATGACAATGCTGGGAAGTCTGAGTCAATGTCAACAGATTATCCTGGAGAAGCTTGAACGTTTCTTCTGCCTTAAAGTCCGCCCGACGATTGAAGCAGTGAAGGGATTGATCATGATCATAATTATATATATATATATATATATATATATATATATATATATATATATATATATATATATATATATATATATATATAAATATATATATATATATATATATATATATATATATATATATATATATATATATATATATATATATATATATGGTTAGCTCCTAGTTTCTAACGGAGGTCTCTACGGAGGTCTCTTGATTAGGCCTTCATCAAAATAAATAAGAGGAGTAAATGCGATAGGCAACAAACTACAGAAGAACTCAAAATTGATCGCTGCATTTAAGTATTATATTAATATTTAATATTACCTTTTAAAGTTCAATGATAATTCTTCACCGTCACTTGATTTAAAGACAATTTGATGTGGGTAAATTATTTTTATTTCATTGGTGACTTTCGCTGAATTTCTCAATTAATTTCTATTATTATCAAATTTATTTCCAAGTTATAAAAATTATTAACGTACCCAAAAATATAGCTGAAAACAATCGCTGTAATGAAAACTTGGGAATGGAAAATTTTCAGGATTGCAGGTCCGGATCTGTCCCAGAATGATTTTAGTTTGCTCAGGGTGTCGGCCTGATTCCAAAATGATATAACATGTTGGGCTGCGGGCTTTAGGAGTAAAGTGGACAAAGTGTGACACAGTGACACATTCACATTTATATATATATATATATATATATATTCATGAATTATTCACACAAAAACAAATGCAAAGGTTAATGATTTAATTGGCGAGAAATCCATCGTCGCAAACAATTCAAATAATATACAAAAACCTCCGAATCCGTTATGAATGAAAAGATCCTTGTTTCTATAAATTTCTGCCGTATTAGTTCTTATTTTTACTACAAGCTTTCGTCTGTTCCTACAGACATCTTCAGGAACATTTTAGGATAAAATAAGAACTAATACGGCAGAAATTTATAGAAACAAGGATCTTTTCATTCATAACGGATAAGGAGGTTTTTGTATATTATTTGAATTGTTTGCGACGATGGATTTCTCGCCAATTAAATCATTAGCCTTTGCATTTGTTTTTGTGTGAATAATTCATGAATTTGTAAATTGATTGTACGTTTATCGAAATATATATATATATATATATATCGACAGGACCGATAATAGCTCAAACAATTACTCCAACGTTTGTTTTCTAAATCATGTGGGGGACTATTTCCATGAAAGAAATCCAATCTTCACCACTAAAAATGACTTCAAAAATGAGATTCATGTACTACTTCGACCATCTTGACCATTTCTCTTGGTAATACTTTCTTAGAATTGGTAAGTTTGGTTTTCTTCATGTTTTTAACCACTATTCTTAATATTCTCCATCATTTATCAGCGTTTCCATTTGTAACCCCCCCCCAGCTTCTTTAAATATGTTCTTCTTAGTCAATCCCATTTTTTTACTTATTAAAATTTTAATTTTTATTCCTTTTTTTCGCGTAAATTTCTTTTCTTACAGAGAACAAGCTTCAGTCTGTTTCTGGTGATAATTATGCAGGAAATCCTCCACAACTGCAACACTTCTATCTCCATTGGTGGTAGACCTGTCTGTAACCTGCGTTTCGCAGACAATATTGACCTTATGAGAGGCAATAACAGTGAGCTGCAAGACCTGACCAACCAACTCGTTGAAAGTGACGGCGCATATGGAGGGAAACTCAACACATCAAAAATAATGGTGAATAATGGTGATTTTAATTTATTTCTTTACTTGAAAGCTCTTTACGACCATATCAGGTTGAAACACCGGTTACCTTAAAATCACCGAAGTTAAACAACGTCGAGCCTGGTCAGTACCTAGATGAGTGACGGCTTAGTAATAACAGGTGCTGTAAACTTGGATGTGCGGGTGGTGTAATGGATAATGGTTCAGAATTTTTAATCAGAGAGCCGAGTTCGAATTCTGGTTGGGGTCGGTTATATTCACGTACGCGCAAATACCCTTGAGAAAGTTATGAATCTACATCTTCCCCCCAGTTATGGGTTAATTAGTAAGACTTGTATTCCCTCAGAAAATCTTACAATCTAAAAATATTTTCTGGCTATATATATATCTATATAGAGTTGATGAGCTGTAGAAAACGACTCAATCAATTGCTTGAATGCTGTTCAAACTTTCCACAATTTCTAACAATGGCGCATTGGTATAGCAAAACATGTTTTCTAAAAGCTAGGATTTCTTGATATGAGATGCCAATTTATTGACTTCCTTTATTATTTCCATGATTAGTTTTGTCTTATCTATCTACGTAATTCTATCATTATATAACGATTAGAATTTGATGTCTAACCAAGTACAAGCAAGTACAGAAATCTAACAGTCTGACCATTGAACAGGGACTGGGGTATAGTAAGAGGACAAACATTACTTAAAGCTTCAAAGGATATGAAGTTATCATATACATCTAAGTATATGTTCATGTGGCATATTTATCATATACATAGAAGTATATGTTCATGTGGCATATTTATCATATACATCTAAGTATATGTTCATGCGGCATATTTATCATATACATATAAGTATATGTTCATGTATATATTTATCATATACATCTAAGTATATGTTCATGTGGCATATTTATCATATACATATAAGTATATGTTCATGTGGCATATTTATCATATACATCTAAGTATATGTTCATGTGGCATATTTATCATATACATCTAAGTATATGTTCATGTGGCATATTTATCATATACATCTAAGTATATGTTCATGTGGCATATTTATCATATACATCTAAGTATATGTTCATGCGGCATATTTATCATATACATATAAGTATATGTTCATGTGGCATATTTATCATATACATATTAGTATATGTTCATGTGGCATATTTATCATATACATATAAGTATATGTTCATGTGGCATATTTATCATATACATATATGTTCATGTGGCATATTTATCATATACATATGAGTATATGTTCATGTGGCATATTTATCATATACATGTAAGTATATGTTCATGTGGCATATTTATCATATACATGTAAGTATATGTTCATGTGGCATATTTATCATATACATGTTAGTATATGTTCATGTGGCATATTTATCATATACATATAAGTATATGTTCATGTTGCATATTTATTATATACATAGAAGTATATGTTCATGTGGCATATTTATCATATACATGTAAGTATATGTTCATGTGGCATATTTATCATATACATGTAAGTATATGTTCCTCTCTCACGTCTTTCTTATATCTTCTCCCTGTCATTATCGTATAGTATACGGTGCTTTCTGCGCATCTGCAATGTCAAACACAGAAAGAAAATTGCAGAAATTCCTAAACCATGTCGTAAAGGTAAAGCAGAAAGACTGGAATAAACATTAATTTTCAAAAGATTGAATATAAAGTTGTCAGTAAGAGGAACGATCCAGAATGCAAAACTCAATCAAGTACAGAAATCTAACAGTCTGGGAGGTGGTTTAACTGAAGACGGAAAATGTAATAAAGAAATATGCCTTCTAAAGCTAAAAAGGTCAGAATAACCGAGCTACCTAAGGCGCCAGAATCAATGTTGTGGAATAACTTAAACCCAAAAGCTAAACAAAATATTAAAAACTGTTTTGTAATATTAATCGCCTTATAGGACAGTGAATGCGGAACAATTTTCTGATAGACGAAGGGGAAACTTGAGGCAACAGAGATGCGGTTCTACAGGAGGATGATGAGAATAAAATGGATTGAACAAGTGAGTAACGAGAAAATTTGAATAAAAAATGGAAGCAAAAGGACACTTGCAATTATAATCAGAAAAAGATCTTTGAAAATTCTGAAACGCATAATACGGAAAGGCGTCTTGGAGAATTAAACACACATAGGATATGTGAGAAGCCTACCTAACGAGCTTAGATGACAGAACAGGGACTGGAGTACAGTAAGAGGACAAACATTACTTAAAGCTTCAAAGGATATGAAGTTGAGAAGAGCTGTAATCACCCATCTCCTTAAGGGTTATGGCACAGAAAAGAATTTATCATATCTTCATATGTTTAAAAAAAAAAACCTTGTTTAACATTTATTTGAATCTATATTACACAATTATGGTAATATTTATATCAATGACATGTTTAAATATATCAGAAGCTATACTATTCTATATATTTACAATATGATGAACAATAATCGAAAAGTAGATATATTCAATTAAGTAAATGAATGTAAGTATTTAACAGATATTTGAATTTCATGTGATATATTTATCATATAAGTATATGTAGCATATTTATCATACATATGTTCACTATTTTGCATTATTCGGACTATTGTCCTTATCTTTGTCGCCATATTTATTTCAATGTTTCAGACTTCTTCAAGTGGTTGAAATGTCGAATTGAATTCTTTATTTCGCGCACTAGTTCCACGTGCCATGTTTAATGAATGTCAGTTATCAGTTATCTCCTGCTAATTCCCCTCTCCAAGTTATCCACTGCCTTAACCGGGTATTGAACTCACACACTTTGGATCCTGTCACTGGATCTAACCTATATAAATAAACCTAATGTCTTCAGCCTCCATTTTTACCAGTGCTCTTATTGCAATTTTTTTGTTGTTATCATTACATGTTTTTACCAGAGCTCATATTGCATTTTTTGTTATTATCGCTTTTCTCAGCAATATAAACAGATATATTTCTCAGCAATATAAACAGATATATTTCATGTGATACTTTTATCATATGCATACAAGTATATGTTTATGTGGCATATTTATCATATATATATATAAGTATATATTCATATATATATTTATTATATGCTATTCATATGACATATTTATCATATACATAAGTATATGTTCATATAAAACATATTTATCATATACATCTAAGTATATGTTCATGTGGCATATTTATCATATACATCTAAGTATATGTTCATGTGGCATATTTATCATATGCATCTAAGTATATGTTCATGTGGCATATTTATCATATACATATATGTTCATGTGGCATATTTATCATATGCATCTAAGTATATGTTCATGTGGCATATTTATCATATACATATATGTTCATGTGGCATATTTATCATATACATAGAAGTATATGTTCATGTGGTATATTTACTGTATACATTTAAGTATATATTTACATTGTTATCATCGGCCGGGTTTGTTGCATTCACTTTCGCAGAAATACCCTCGGGAAAGATATATATATATATATATATTACTTCTCCCTACATCTTTGAAGTAAATAAAGAGCAGACTCATTTTTTTTTCATCTTGCAACGAGTGCACCTGATGTGCAAGAAATAAATCAGAAAAAAAGGTGCAGGATGCATGTTCTTTATTAATCTACCCAAGCAAGACAATAAAACCATTACAGAATGTGAGAAAATGAGAACTTTATTAATGAGAGAGAACAATAAAAGAACAGGAATCAAGAAAACTTGAGATAACGATTGATATTGCATTTAAATTGTTGATGATTAAAGTTGATTAGAAAGCAAGACGTTTAGGAGAAAGCTACACAGGCGGGAAATGCAAGTGTTTGCTTCTCTCTCTCTCTCTCTCTCTCTCTCTCTCTCTCTCTCTCTTTTCTCTCTCTCTATTCTCTCTCTCTCTCTCTCTCTCTCTCTCTGTCTTTCGTCTTTCTTATAGAGAAAGAATGTATCTCTCATCCTTCTGTCTCTAATCTTCTTTTCTGTTATCTTTCTCCAAGTCTCTCGTCTCTCATCTCTCTTCCAACTCTCTGTTCTTCTCCAAAGGAAAAAAAAATGTTATTAAAGAGCGAGAAAAAATAGAAAAACAGAAAACAAAGAGACAGATTATAAAAGAACACTGATGATAACGATTGATTTAAGAGAAAGATGAAAAAAAAACACGGCTCCATTTGTATCGCAAATCAATTAGAAAATGCCTGTTGAAAAGAAAGCTCTTTAAAATATCTTCCTTGTTGGTGAGTGAAAGATGGAAAGAATAGAATGCGTTCAAGATTGCAGGTACGTAAAAGAAGATCACGGGAAGACATATTGGAATCCTTGGGTGCGTATACGATTCAGAAGGATTTTTAGTGTCGTAATAAAAAAATGAATTCACTCCTATTCTCTCTTTCTCTCTGTCCTTCTCCCTGGCCTCTCTATTTACTTCTCTCTTTCTCTAATTCCTCTCACTCTTTTCATCTTTCTTTAGCTCTTTTTACATCACTTCCCACTAACTCTTATTTATTATTGTTGTCCCATTTGGTTTTGTTTGAGTTTTTTAAATCATTTCACCCCAAGCAAAGTAATAAAGCTACTAAGATGCAAGGGGGATTACTGATTATGAAAGAATAGGAGAAAAAGAAAACATTTTAATGATAGAGTACAATAAAAGAATAGGAATTAAGAAGACTGAAGATAACGCATGAATGGAACACAGCAGCATGCCTGTCCACATTCACAATTTAGGAAAATTCTTGTTGAAAATACATGTATACTTTTTTTCATGAAAATAAAAATTCTTAAAGCTATCTATATAAAAAAAATTGAAACCAACTCTCAATAAAATTAATTATGAAGACTGCACAAATGTTTTAAAATGTTTACAGTAGATTATTTAAAATATCTAGGTTTTAACTAATAGTTTTTAAAAATTTGTCTTTAAAAATATTTAGATATTTCAATAACTTAGTTACCTCCCTTGACGTTTGCACGTGTGTCTACATGATAAAATTTAAAAATTGTACAGTACATAACCTTAACGTATTTCCCTTCACATATAAAATTTTAATTTTCAGATGAACACAACAATATTTTATCTAAGAAAAACGAAGACACTGATGCCATTGTGGAAATGTCGAAAGTACACGGAACAA